CTCTCCTTTTCCCTCTTTTACCGCCTACTTTTTTTATTATACTTAACTGTGTACATGTCAAATCCCCCAGAGGGAATATAAATTCCTTCAGAATAAGAAACTGTTTTTTTTCCTTCACTTCATAAAACAGTGCCTCATACAAAGTAAACGTTTAATGTTTGTTGAATTGAATGTGGTGTCTATGCTTCTGAGATAAGGCAGGGAAAACTTAACATGTAAGAAAAATGTTATAAACTTTGAAAGTAGCTGGTTTTAAGGTTTGTAGTGAAAACTCTCAAGCTATTTTTATGGTACTCATGGCTCCAAGGTTAGGGATGAGGGTAAATTTTACATTAATGACATTACTTCAGGGTACTAAACATTGGTAATGGATTATTTCTATTATTGAATGCTGAAATACTGAAAATCATCTTTAAAAGGCCTACAACAGATGGATCCATTGTTGAAGACCTATGAAACAACATGGGAAATAATTGCAAAAGATAAAATATAGACAGATTGTGATGCATATCCACAGGAAGAATACTCACCACAGGTATAATGAGGTAGAACCAATCAATAACATACAAAATTTAAGTAGAGAAACCTGAATTTCAAGAAACCTTCCCAACTTCCAAAGAAACAACATATTAAATGTTATGCAGAAAGAGTTCACTGCCATCTTCAGTTGATGAAAGTATAGGCAAAAAGCTGCAGCTGCAGATCTCACTGTCCCTTGAAGACAAGGTTTCAGTTACAAGATCACATACATTACACTATTCGAGTAGCTTTATCGGAAGGCTTTCTCCTCTACAAAGACCAATGACAATTTCTCTCCTCTTTTACCCAAGGAGCCACCAGTTTCCCTGTAACTTGACTCAAATGAACAAAGTTGTTACTCCTACTGCAGTAGTCATCCTTGGTAAAGTTTTCTGTCTTACAGTAAAACCAATTCCATCAAGTTCTATCAGTTCATTAGTTGGAGTAATTGAGAGCTAATAAAACTCAATAGGCAAGTCAAAGGGCTGGAGGAACAAAGAGCTCTAAACTGGGATGGCAGTGTGGAAACCTGGAGAATTGAGTGACTTCAAGGCTGAAAAACTGACCAGAGCACTAATGAAAATAAGAATGTATCCAAAGATAAACCCAATAATGTGCTTACTGAACCAGGCAGGAGAATCCAAGAAAGTGTACAAATGATACAGTGAATTAGTCATGCAATTCAACATGACTCCAGTTTGTGATTTTGAATGTATCTTATGGAAATGTGAGTTGTTATCCCCTACAGTCTCTGTCCACCCAAAAACTCCAATAAACACGCCCACCCTGATTTCTCAGGAAGTGCCAGCTTCCATTTTAGTCACTATCTGCACTCTAGGTACACTACAGTGATGACAAACCAAGAACAGCTGCAAACCCCCGGAAGACATCTCTGTGACAATCTGGTCTAAAGGCAGGAAAGAAGCAAAGGCTACAAAAATCATCTCTTCCCTTTACCAACACCAATCATTATTTTAATACAAAAAATGGCAAACTGAGGAAGTTACAGCACGTTATGAGATCACACAATTAATAAAAAGGAACCATGAGGGACCCAGGTAGCCCCGATTTAGGTGGGTGACAAGAAACCCCCCATGTTATGGGGCAAAAGTATTTCTGGTTACGTAATCTGCCCCTAATATGGATAATCTACACAAAGATAATTAAGATTTAACTGTATTTCACGAAGGTTATGCCTTTACAAGAACTGACAAACCAGACCAAAACAAATAAATTAGTAACCCCATTACCAAGTTGCCAATGCAAATGGTGAAACTAAGTGCTTTCAGATCCCAGTTAACACAAGGTCAACTATGACCCTCAGTACCCATTTACTGAATGCTTACTACAAGTATGACATTATGGAAACACACCACAACAAACAATGAGGAAACCAAACTTCCTGACGTCATCTAATTCACCAAATTATATAGCTCCAATCTCTGAGATGGTACGGTATCGTAGATAATTGTGCTAGATCGGGAAAACCTCAGTTTAAGTGCCATCTCTGACACTAGCGAGCTAAGTTACTTAACCTCTGTCTCCCTCTATGTTCTCATCTGTTAAGGAAACCTAGAAGGCTGTTGAGAATTATGTACAGTATCTTATAAGTGTTAAACAGCAACATCATCATCAATAAAAGCTAGCATTTATACAGCACTTTTAGGTTTGCAAAGCATTTTACAAATATCTCACTGGATTCCCACAACCCTGAAGGTAGGTGCTATAATTATTCCCATTTAAAAGATAAGGAAACTGAGGAAGACCAAGGTTAAATGATTTGCCCAGGGTCACACAGCTATTAAGTGTCTGTGGCCACATTTGAACTTGGGTCTTGCTAACTTCAGATCCAGAGCTCTATGCTTTGCAACATACCTACTTGTCTCACTATCATTAGACTGTTTTATAAATCTATTAGTATTACCACTAAGTAATACATGTCTCTGCCAGGAAAAAAAAATAAGCTGACAAGTAACAAACCCTCATTTACCTGAAAATTCCAAAGTGACTAAGAAAAGTTACACAGACAAGCTACATATTTTTCTAGCATATGGACTAAGTAAATACTGGCATTGTGTTATATTTCCTTGGTCTCAAAATTATTCTAATTTCATTAACCACCACATCTCTGATGCAAAACCATGGTCCTTGAACATTTTATGCATAAAAGTAAGCAACTTTTGAGGGTGACAAGTCATATGTAAGAAAAAATGCATTCTCACCAGACAAAATGTAAACCAAAGTATACAAAAACAAAATTGTCCACAGTGAAAGAGAGGTAAAGCCAGGGAGACAAATGTATGAAACAACTAGCATATGAATCTAAAAAAATGTATGCACATTTTTTCAATCAAAACAAAGAAACAAATACAAAAGAAAAATGCAGAATGTTTTGAAACAAAACAAAACAGCTTATTTAGCTCATACATAGGAACTAGTACATTGTGACCATTTTAGGTCAAGTAATAACTACAACAAAATCATATAACTTCCATATAAGTAAATGAGCATTCACTTAGACAGTTTTATTAAAAGTTTAACAAATTTTTAAAACAAATTTTAAAAGGATGCTTCCTCCAATCTTAAAGAGATACAGTGGAAAAGAGTACTTATTGGGTTTGGAAAACAGAAGACAATAAGGCCAAGTTCTGACTGCAACTTATTAATTGTGTGACGTGAGGGGAGTGACTTAATCTTTGCTTTGTATATGTTTGTTTGTTTGTTTGCTGTCTCCCTCATTACACTGTAAGCTCCTTGAGGGGAGGGACTCTTGCCTGCCTCTTTTTGTATGCCCATTGCTTAATACATTGCACAGCACGTAGCAGACATTTAATATTTATTAAAGTGAAGTGAAAATTAATCTATATGGCCTGTTTCCTCATCTGTAAAATGAGAGGGGCTGGACTAAACGGCCTCTAAGTTCCCTTAAAACTCTGAAGCTAAGAAACAAGTAAATTTGTTCAGCAGTCATAATTTTGGTCAATGTCTATCAGAAACAAACAATTATTGGAACCAATCTAACCTTAGGACCTAACATACTCCTCTACCCAAAGAGCTAGAAAGAATAAGGCTCAAAAATTATATCGTACTCGGATAACTTTTAATACTTTAATCAACATACAACGAATTCTATCGAGCTAGTTTCTTTCTGCAAAGTTGAACATAGCTTTTGACCCTTGTGCTGACCAGAGAAACCCCGCTGCTTTACCTAAAACTTTGGGACCAGTTTTGTAAAATAAGGCAGCTGGACTAAATAACCTGTCCAGCTGTAACTGTGGCTGGGTGTGATATTAAAGAATTGGAAATATAATGTAAACAACTCACCACCGCAAGCTTCCTCCACTCCAATACTACCCCCCTACCCCTGCTCCCTCTTAGACCTTATGGTCCAGTTCTGCTTGGCCTCGCCACAGAAAAAGGGGGGCAGGGAAAAAGAAGTCATGCAGCCTAACTCCTAGAGCCCACGGCGGGGTGCGGCTTCCAGAACCCAGGCTGTGCATCGCTTCTGACCCGAGTATTTAATCGAACTGGCCCCAATTTTACCGGGGCCCGAGCAAGATCGTGCAACGGGCAGCTCCTCCACGTAGCCACATGCGTGGGGTTTATAAACACTTCGTCCTCAGGGCCTCGGGGCTTCGCTGCTCCCAGATGCTCGGGCAGGAGGCGTCTGCAGCGCACCTTCCAGTTCTCTTGGGGACCCCGGAGAGAAGCCGAGGAGCCCGGGAGGGCAGAAGAGGGAAGAAGAAAGAGGAGGACGGAAAAGGAAGGAGGGGAAGGATGAAGAGGAGAAGGGGGAGGGGTAGAAGGTAAAGGAGAAAGAAGAGGAGGTGGAAGAAGAGGAAGGAGAGGAAGGAGGGGGGAGGAGAAGAGGAATGAAAAAAGGAGAGAAGGAAGAAGAGGAGAGAGAAAGGAGAGGAGGAGAGAGAAAGAAGGAGAGAAGGAGGAGGAGGCCCGGGAGGCCCGGAGGCGGCGGCGGCCCGGCCCGGGGCGCCTGGCGGCCGGGCCTCACTCACCCTTGCGCAGCTCCCGCTCCCACACGGTGACGATGGGGCGCGAGTGCTTGCGGTGGTGGATCAGCCACAGCGATAACGTCTGCACGCTCTGCTGAGAGTTGCTCAGCTCCGACAGCTTCTTCTCCAGCGCCGCCTCCGAGAAGGCGGACATCCCCCCAGCCCGGCGCCCCCGCCGCCCAGCGTCCGGCGCCCGACACGCCGCGGAGCCCGCGGGGAGGAGGGGCTCGCCAGGCCCGGGCACCAGCGCGCCGCCCCCTTACCGCCACCGCCGCCGCCACAGTCCCATCCAACCCCACCACAGACGCAAGCAAGAGCAAGATGGCGCCCCAACCGGCAGTGACATAGGCAGGCTGGTCGCTACCACCCTCTTCCCAGCATGCACTGGGCCCTCGAAGGGGCGGGGCTGCGCTCCCTCCGAAAGGCGGGACGCGGGCGCGCCTGCGCGGGGCGCGAAGCCGGGAAGCACGTGGCGCTTCGGGTACACCCCGCAGGTGGCGGGAGGGCGGAACCTGAGGGTCCAGCTCGAGGGGCTGAATAGCACCTGAGGCATTCACCTGGAAATTTTCAGGTCAGTTAGGGTTTGAGCAGGCTATGTAAGCCCTTCGACGCCACACATCCATTTATGCATTTAAGTTTACAAAGGACTAGGCTCTGAATTTTTTTTAACCAATCACGAAAATTAGTGAGCAGTTTGAAAATGGAATAGCTTTCAAGGAAATATGAATGAAATGGTGTCTGATGTTTCTTAAATACTTAATTTATAATCAAGGTTTGGAATGTAAGCCTAGTAGTGAAATCTTTGAGTCAAGTGATATGGATAAGTTTAGTCCATTAATAAGTAGGAATACACCAAAGTATTTATAGCTGGAGAAATTTTGGTGCTGTCAGTAATCAATAAAAATTATATGTTACATCAATAACAATTTATTTAAAGAATTCTTAAAAGATTTCTTGGATATGGTCACTAACCAATGCAGATTGCACATCCTCTGAGGACAACAGACTCATTCATAATCAGAAACTCTCCAGCTTGGTCAGGCTTGTTATTCTAATCAGCTGATTTATAAGAACTTTCTCAGACTAGCTGTGTGACCCTGGGCAAGTCACTTAACCCCATTGCCTAACCAAAAAAAATAAAAATAAAGAACTGTCTCAGATCGACAATAAAACTAGTTCTTGGATGATTCTGATGGAAGTACTTCAGAATTCATCTTCAAAACAATTCATTTTATCCATGGGATTTTAAGGGTTGATACTGTGTGAAGCAAAGACTATAACTTTAGGAATTCTGTTTAGAATCTTTTTTTAATAGCATTTCCCCCCAATTATATGTAAAGGCAATTTTTAGCATTCATTTTTACAACAATTTGAGTTCCAATTTTTTCTCCCTCCTCTCCCCTCCCCTCTTCCTAAAATGGCAAACAATTTGATATAGGTTATATGTGTACAACCATGTAAAACATCTTTCCATATTAGTCACACTTCTGAAAGAAGAAACAGACCAAAAAGGGGAAAAAAATGAAAAAAGTATCCTTCATTCTGCATTCAAGGTCCATCAGTCCTGTATCTGGATGTTGTAGGGTCATATCCTTACCTGTGGGTGCTCTGCCCAAAAAAAATATATTTTGATCCCTGAATCCTTTTTTTTCCCCCGTTAAGGACCATGTTTTAAACCCAAATCACTCTGACTCTCATTGGTTGGCCAACAAAAGGTCCTCACTTGGTTATTATTTGGGCCCTGATTGGCTCAGAGTGAATGTAAATGGCAATTATTTCTCTTTTGGCCAGAAACCTTGAAGATTGATTTTTTTTAACTAGGTAAAGAGGCCATTCTCTGCCTAATTTCTTACTTAACCTTAATCACTAAATGGGTGTTGCCTCAGTCAAACTGGAACTTGTTAAAGACCTTAGTTTAAAAAGGCTGAGGTCTCCCACTGCATCCAGGGCCATCTTCCATCATCCTGATCTGTATCTTGCCACTGGACTCATATGGCTTCAGAGGAGAACCTGAGGCTGGTGACTTTGCACAGCCATCTTTCACTTAAATCCAATTCACTTGCATGTCATAGCATCATCTCCCTGATGTCATGGTCCTCTTCTAGAGTCAAGGACAAACAACAATCTGGATGTGAGTAGCATTTTCCCTCATGAGTCCTTTGTAATTATGTTAGATCATTGCGTTGCTAAGAAGAGCCAAGTCACTCATAGTTGATTACCACACAATGTTGCTGTTACTGTGTACAATGTTTTCCTGGTTCTGCTCATTTCACTTTGCATCAGTTCATAAAAGTCTTTCCAAGTTTTTTTCTGAAATCTGCCTGCTCATCATTTCTTATTGCATAATAGTATTCTATTACATTCATCTACCACAACTTGTTCAGCCATTACCCAATTGATAAGCATCCCCTCAATTTCCAATATTTTGCCACCAGAAAAAGGCCTGCTATAAATATTTTTGCACATGTAGATCCTTTTCCCTTTTCTGTGATCTCTTTGGGATACAGATCTAGTAGTGGTATTGCTGGATTAAAAGATATGCACAGTTTGGTTGCCCCATGGGCATAGTTCCACATTACTCTCCAGAATGGTTGGATCAGTTCACAACTCCACCAACAGTGCATTCGTGTCACAATTTATTTTTTTAGACTTCACTAGGTGATAGTGAGAAAACTTTTTTTTTAACTGCCTCTTTTCACAGTGGATAGAGCTCTGCTCTTGGACTCAGGAGGACTTGGGTTCAAATCCGGCCTCAGACACTTGAAACTTACTAGCTCTGTGACCCTGGGCAAGTCACTTAACCCCAAAAAACAAACAAACAAAAAACCCTCACCAAACTGCCTCTTTTGAAAAATAGGTCTTATTTGTTTAGTTGTGTCTGTCTGATTATATCCTAGTAACAATAACAGAGTGAGGTTTGTTTTGTTTTTTAGGTTTTTTTAGTCATTTTATTATTCCTAAGTTACTGTTAGTTCCTTTTGGTACTATGACATTCATTCTTTTTCCAAATAAAATTTCTGTGGCATTAAGTAGCATTTACACACTGAAAGAAGATAAAGAGCTCTAATGGCAGTTAATGATTCTAAGAATAAGGCACCCAGATCCTTGATCTGGGGGGAAAAGATGGTCACTTTTTTCCCATTCCCTTCATATTTTTGTGAAAGGAACCTAGCTATTTGGAAAAATAGGCTGTCTCTGCTATAAACTTTACCTGTTTCAATAGAATCTGCTATTTCTTTTTGGTTTTGTTTTTTGTTTGTTTGGTTTGGTTTTTTGTAGGTAATGGGGTTAAGTGACTTGCCCAGGGTCACACAGCTAGTAAGAGAATCTGCTCTTTCCAGATTTAGAGGTTACAGCCATCTAGTCCAATCCCCTCATGTTACAAAAGCTTAGAGATATTATGTGACTTACTCAAGGTCACATAGCTACATAGTAACAGAGGCATGATTTAAATCCAAATTTTCCTGACTCCAGGTTCAATACTTTATGCACTATACCACACTGCTTCCAGCTTTCTAGCTAGCTGGCACCTACTGCTCAATAACAAGGCGAGTAACCTGGTTAAAGCACCAGGAAAGAAAGGAGTAATCAAACAGGTAGAAGACCCAGTACAAAAAAACCTAGAGAAAAAAGAAAGTATCAAGGAAGAGAGAGTAACCAATAGTGTCAAAAAGCTGCAGGGAGGAAGAGGAGGAGAAGAATTGAGAAAAAACCTTTAGATTTGGCAATTAAGGGATCATTGGTAACTTTTATTACAAGACAGGATTCTACTTGGGAAGTAACAATGATGCTAAAAGAAAATACCATCAACGAAAGTTTTTTTTAAAAGAAAAAAGTAAGGGAATTAGCACTGGTAAAAAAAAATTTAAAAGAATAACATTTCCCATTTTTATGATATTTTCGGGATATAGACCTAGAAGTGGTATTGCTGGGTCTGTACCCGAGACCATAAAAAAGGGAAAAGGACCCACATGTACAAAAGTATTTATAGCAGCTCTTTCTGTGGTAGCAAAGAATTGGAAATTGAGGGGATGCCTATCAATTGGGGAATGGCTGAACAAGTTATGATATATGAATGTAATGGAATACTGTTGTGCTATAAGAAATGATGAGCAGGCAGACTTCAGAAAAACCTGGAAAGACTTGTATTGGTCTGATGCTGAGTGAAGTGAGCAGAACCAGGAGAACATTGTGTACAGTAACAGCCACATCATGAGATGACTGACTTTGATAGACTTAACTCTTCACAGCAATGCAAGAATCTAAGACAACTCCAAAAGACTCATGATGAGGGCAGCTAGGTGGTGCAGTGGATAGAGTAAGGCCTTGGATTCAGGAGGACCTGAGTTCAAATCCAACCTCAGACACATAACACTGATTAGCTGTGTGACCTTGGGCAAGTCACTTAACCCCACTGCCTACCCCCCCAAAAAAAAAGATTCGTGATGGAAATTGCTACCCACACCCAGAGAAAGAAACATGGAGCCTGAATGCAGATGGAAGCATACTATTTACTCAGCTTTTCTTTTGTGTTTTATTTATTGTTTCATTCTCATGGTTCCTCCCTTTAGTTCTAATTGTTCTTTACATCATGACTAATGGGAAAATATGCTTAACATGAATGTATATGTAGAGTCTATATCAGATTTTACACTGTCTTGGGGGGGAGATAAATGGAAGGGGAGAAAATTTAAAACTCAAAATCTTATGTAAGTGAATGTTGAAAACTAAAAATAAATTAATTATCAAAAAGTAACATTTCTCTGTAAATGAAATACTAGAACATTTAGGAAATGCAAGAAACATGAAAAAATATTGAGTTATTAATGACTATTAAGAATAGAATTTGAGATTAATTCCCCTCCCCCCAAAAAAATTTTGTATATCAATCACTCAACAAGCATGTATTAAGAGATTACTATGTGGCAAGTTGTGTTAAATGCTGGGGGGGAAAGAAAGTAAAAAAGATAATCCCTGTCTTCAAGGAGCTTTCTGGGATAAATTTATAGAAGAAATGCCATTTACTTATCATCAAAACAAAATTTATCAAATATTTGCCATTAGCCTAACAAAATACATGTGAGATGTAGCTAAAGTTAGCTAAGTGGTGCAATGAATAGAGCTTTCTGCCTGGGGTCAGAAAGAAAGGAGTTCAAACCTGGCCTTAGACACTTACTAGCTGTGCGATCCTGGACAAGTCACTTATGCTGTTTGCCTCTGTTTCCCCATTTGTAAAAGTGGGGATAGTAATAGCACCTACCTCCTAGGGTTGTGGTGAGACTCAAAAGAGATTAAATTTGTGAAGTGCTTAGCACAGTGCCTGGTTCATAGTAGGCACTATGTAAATGTTAGCTATTATTATTATAAAAACAGCCATAAAGCAATTTTGTCAGAAGGGAAGAACTAAGTAATTGGAGGTGATTTTGCTCTCTGTACAATGTAGCCAATAAAAAAAATCAATATTTTCCAAGTTAATGTATATGTAATATTATTTGAAACAATACCAATGGGACAGTTTGTAGATTTAAGTAAAATGATAATAAAATTTATATGGAAAAATAGGGGCAGGGA